GCGAATTTGACTAAAAATCCACAAAAAATCTGGGATATGGATTTCGAACGAACTAATTCGAAAAACAACCTGTTGATAGTCGCAGGCCAAGATTTTGGAAATATTTATTCGGTTTCTATATCAAATTTTGAAAATTTCCCAAAAATGGCTCAATTTGATTTTGACGATTCTGGAGAAATGGTTGGATTGTTCACAGATGTGAAGCCAAAAATAAATTCTAGGAGACGAAAACAACAAAAAAAATCACTTTTGATAATTTTCCAAAGTGCTCGGAAAAAGTTCAAAAATTTTGGTGAGTGGGAGATCGAAAAATCGAGCTTTTAGGAAATTTGACTAAAAAGCAAAAGAAAAAATACTGGGATATAGATTTCAAGAAATAGGTTCAAAAACATGGCCTTTTCATGTTTCCAGACCAAGATTTACGAAAATTGGGTTTCAAAATCGAATTTTTAAAATATTTCAAAAATGGTCAAATATATCACTTTGGCGATTCTGGAACAATGGTTGAAATTTTTGAAGAAATGAAGCGAAAAATACCTTCTGTAAATCGAAATCAACAAAACAACTTCTTTAGATAATTTTCGAAACTGCTTGGAAGATCCAAAATTTCATTAAAAGTTGATTTTTTTTTGTAAATTTAATTTTGGCGATTCTGCAAAATGGTTTGAATTGGAGAAGTTCCTAAAAATTCACAAAAAAATTCTCGAATATATATTTCGACGAACTAATTCGAAAAACATTTCCTAGATCACGATCTTCAAAATATGCGGTTTCAAAATCAAATTTTTAAAATATTCCAAAAATGGCGATATTCCACTTTGGCTCTTCTGGAATATTTGGAAAAATGAAGCCGAAAATAACTTCTGAAACTCAAAATTAGCCAAAAAATCTCTTTCAGTAATTTCCGAAAGTTCTCGAAAAAAGTTCCAAAATTTCATAAGGGGTTTAGAAAATTCGATTTTTTGGCGAATTTGACTAAGAATCCACAAAAAATCTGGGGTATGGATTTCGACGAGCTGATTCGAAAAACAGCCTGTTGATAGTCCCAGGCTAAGATTTCGGAAATATTTATTCGGTTTCTATATCAAATTTTGAAAATTTCCCAAAAATGGCCCAATTTGATTTTGACGATTCTGGAGAAATGGTTGGAATTTTCACAGATGTGAAACCAAAAATAAATTCTAGAAGTCGAAAACAACAAAAAAATCTCATTTGATAATTTTCCAAAGTGCTCGGAAAAAGTTCAAAAATTTTGGTAAGTGCGAGATCGAAAAATCGAGCTTTTAGGAAATTTGACTAAAACGCAAAAAAAAAAAATGCTGGGATATAGATTTCAACAAATGGATTAAAAAAACATGGCCTTTTCATGTTTCCAGACCAAGATTTACGAAAATTGGGTTTCAAAATCGAATTTTTAAAATATTCCAAAAATGGTCAAATATATCACTTTGGCGATTCTGGAAAAATGGTTGAAATCTTTGAAGAAATGAAGCGAAAAATAACTTCTGTAAATCGAAATCAACAAAACAACTTCTTTGGATAATTTTCGAAACTGCTTGGAAGATCCAAAATTTCATTAAAAAATTGATTTTTTTTGTAAATTTAATTTTGGCGATTCTGCAAAATGGTTTGAATTGGAGAAGTTCCTAAAAATTCACAAAAAAATTCTCGAATATATATTTCGACGAACTGATTCGAAGAACATTTCCTAGATCACGATCTTCAAAATATTCGGTTACAAAATCAAATTTTTAAAATATTCCACAAATGGTGATATTCCACTTTGACTCTTCTGGAATATTTGGAAAAATGAAGCCGAAAATAACTTCTGAAACTCAAAATTAGCGACAAAATTTCTTTCGGTAATTTCCGAAAGTTCTCAGAAAAAGGTCCAAAAGTTTTCATAAGGGGTTTTGAAAATTCGATTTTTTGGCGAATTTGCCTAAAAATCCACAAAAAATCTGGGATATGGATTTCGAACGAACTAATTCGAAAAACAGCCTGTTGATAGTCCCAGGCCAAGATTTTGGAAATATTTATTCGGTTTCTATATCAAATTTTGAAAATTTCCCAAAAATGGCTCAATTTGATTTTGGCGATTCTGGAGAAATGGTTGGAATTTTCGCAGATGTGAAACCAAAAATAAATTCTAGAAGTCGGAAACAACAAAAAAATCTCATTTGATAATTTTCCAAAGTACTCGGAAAATGTTCAAAAATTTTGGTAAGTGCGAGATCGAAAAATCGAGCTTTTAGGAAATTTGACTAAAAAGCAAAAGAAAAAATATTGGGATATAGATTTCAAGAAATAGGTTCAAAAACATGGCCTTTTCATGTTTCCAGACCAAGATTTACGAAAATTGGGTTTCAAAATCGAATTTTTAAAATATTCCAAAAATGGTCAAATATATCACTTTGGCGATTCTGGAAAAATGGTTGAAATTTTTTAAGAAATGAAGCGAAAAATAACTTCTGTAAATCGAAATCAACAAAACAACTTCTTTCGATAATTTTCAAAACTGCTTGGAAGAAGGAAAAAAAAATCATTAAAAAATTGTTTTTTTTTTGTTAATTTAATTTTGGCGATTCTGCAAAATGGTTTGAATTGGAGAAGTTCCTAAAAATTCACAAAAAAATTCTCGAATATAGATTTCGACGAACTGATTCGAAAAACATTTCCCAGACCACGATCTTCAAAATATTCGGTTTCAAAGTCAAATTTTTAAAATATTCCAAAAATAGTGATATTTCACTTTGGCGCTTTTGGAAAAATGCCTGTAATATTTGAAAAAATGAAGCCGAAAATAACTTCTGCACCTCAAAATTGGCCAAAAAATCTCTTTCAGTAATTTCCGAAAGTTCTCGAAAAAAGTTCCCAAATTTCATAAGGGGTTTAGGAAATTCGATTTTTTGGCGAATTTGCCTAAAAATCCACAAAAAATCTGGGATATGGATTTCGAACGAACTAATTCGAAAAACAGCCTGTTGATAGTCCCAGGCCAAGATTTTGGAAATATTTATTCGGTTTCTATATCAAATTTTGAAAATTTCCCAAAAATGTCCCAATTTGATTTTGACGATTCTGGAGAAATGGTTGGAATGTACACAGATGTGAAGCCAAAAATGAATTCTAGGAGACGAAAACAACAAAAAAATCTCTTTTGATAATTTTCCAAAGTGCTCGGAAAAAGTTCAAAAATTTCGTAATTGGGAGATCGAAAAATCGAGCTTTTAGGAAATTTGACTAAAAAGCAAAAGAAAAAATACTGGGATATAGATTTCTAGAAATAGGTTCAAAAACATGGCCTTTTCATGTTTTCAGGCCAAGATTTACGAAAATTCGGTTTCAAAATCGAATTTTTAAAATACTCCAAAAATGGTCATATGTCATTTTGGCGATTCTGAAAATATAGTTGGAATTTTTGAAAAAATGAAGCGGAAAATAACTTCTACAAATCGAATTCAACAAAAAAACTTGTTTAGAAAATTTTCGAAACTGCTTGGAAAAACGTCAACAATTTGAATAAAAAAAATGTTTTTTTTGTAAATTTAATTTTGGCGATTCTGCAAAATGGTTTGAATTGGAGAAGTTCCTAAAATTCACAAAAAATTCTCGAATATAGATTTCAATTAACTGATTCAAAAAACATTTCCCAAACCACATTTTTCAAAATATTCGGTTTCAAAATCAAATTTTTAAAATATTCCAAAAATAGTGATATTTCACTTTGGCGCTTCTGGAAAAATGCCTGTAATATTTGAAAAAATGAAGCCGAAAATAATTTCTGCAACTCAAAATTAGCCAAAAAACTTCTTTAGATAATTTTCGAAACTGCTTGGAAGAAGGTCAAAAATTTCATTAAAAAAAATTGACTTTTGCGACTCACAATTCAATTTTCAAATAAATGAAACCGAAAAGAAATTCCGCAAGTCGAAATCAACAAAAAATCTCTTTTGGTAATTTTCAAAAGGATTCGGACGGTCAAGAATAATCATTAAAAAATTGAACTTTTGAAGAAGTTGCCTAAAAATTCATAGAAAATTCTGAGGAATAGATTTCGACGCATTTTTTTAAATATTCCAAAAATGATTGGAATTTTCGAAGACGAAACTTCTGTAAATCAAAATCAGCCAAAAAACTTCTTTAGGTAATTTTCGAAAATTCTCGAAACACGATTTTCTAATGAAATCTGGCTACATTAAATAATGTACCACCACAATAAATGTCGACAACTGTGTTCATCTATTATCACGATGACTGAGATTATTTTAGACTTAAGTATCGTAAAAATCTAAAAAGAGAAATAAAATTTAATATAAGTATTATCAACAATTTTAGCAGGAACAAATTTTTGAAATTCGATTTACTTAAGCTGCTTCTCCCTATTCTGAGGTTAATTTGAACCACAAAAATGCAAAACCCAAAATTTGCGCCATTTGGTTTTTCCCTGACGACCCCACTTGTCCCCGATTGTGTGGAAACGTTACCAACAATTTCCTCGTAAACACTGAACATTGACACTTTCGTCACGTCCAACCACTTGATTTGTGGAACGATTTATCTAATACGCGGTAACAAATTTCACATCTGATATCCAATTAATAGCCAGGTTTTACCGAAGAATTTCCCCCATTCGAGATAACTATAAACCACCAGATCTTTTCCGGAAATGTTAAAAATACCGTGAAAATAGCGTCTGAAACCACCACACCCTGGTAAATATATTTATAATGCTTAACAAATATCGTAAAGTTTTAACATTCTAAAAGCAAAGTCGGCGGTTGAAATTCTGGGAAACCTGAATGGTACTGTTGGTAGTTTTTATAACCCGCTAAGTGACAATGGTATAATTAAAGGTTGATGATAAAAGCGAGATTATCTACAGAGTGGATGTTTATATTAAACAGAAAGTATTCTTATGTACAGTGGAAAAGTATGTTAGATAGCACGATGTATGGTAGATAACATTCATAATTTTACTTGCGTAACTGTAATTATGTGTTCGGTGTACGCGCTACGCCAGACTGCGTGTGACGTGCATAACCTCAAAACTGACCACTGACCAATAAGAGCCGAGATTTCTGTAAATGTTACATATCGATTTAATCCGCGAAATAAGTTGTGTTACAAGTCGATTATTTTTATCTCCGTTTTGTATCTGATTATCTCATACCATTTGCATGCATATCCAAAGTGGTTTCTTCTCTCACCAGCCTTAACCCTCAAGGTCAGGATCAATAACTTCCCCTTCCACCAATACACGATTTGCATAACAAAATCAAACCCAGTGAGGTAGTCCCGTCGACTTTTTCTCCATCGCATCGTCTGAAACCAATAAATCAAAATCAAGTCGAAAACGCTGCAAACCGGCAGAATTTCATCAGCAAAATTATCATATTAGCTTGCAGTGTCTAGACTTCAGGTACGAGTCCTCGTGGTAAAAATACCAGTTTTCGCTTCGTCACTATGCAATAATTCATCTCATATTTCGTTTCCAACTGGCATATTTATAAAATAGTTTGCGTTCGTTTCCCCCGAAAGTGACAAAGAGACTTTGTAGCTTCTCACGTGTGCTGAAAGGACGCTTGTCGGACAAATTGCTGCAACAATTTGTCGCCATTTTCCCATTAGCAACGTGTAAATGTCTGCATAATATACCTGTTGAATGTATGCGTGGGCTTTCACGATGTTTGTGACATTATCTAAAGGTTGATGGCATTCGGTTAAGACATGCACAATCGACGGGCTTTTGTTAACAAAGCTCGAACGTTTTAATTTCTCGGCAAATATTATATTCATTGTTTTCGCAGCGGCGGTGTTGAAAGAGAGGAATTTTGTTCACCCACACATGGAATTTGCGATAACTGAGATTCATAGCGTTGCATATTAGTTTTAATGAGCGTTTCGATTCAAAAAAGGCAAGCGGAAGAATACACCCATATTTGATTTGTTCAACAGTATAATTTCGCTGGGTTGTGCTCATGTGACAATCATACGACATGTCAGATGAAGTTGGGTTAAGTAAGTCAAGTCAGGTAGGATCAGCAGTTCTTCAAAGTCCTTTAGGATTTAAAAAATACAAAATGTCCTTTCGATGGTTCCAAATCAAGTTTTTCCAAAATTCGGTTTCAAATAAAATTTTTAAAATATCTGAGAAATGGTCATATATCAATTTGACCATTTTGCCAAAAAAGCAAGGAATATATATTAGAAAAAATGAGGTCGAAAATAATTTCTTCAATTCAAAATTAACCACAAAAATAGGTATTTTTTGAAAGTTTTCGGAAAAAGATCAAAAATTTCATAAAGGGTCAAAGATTGATTTTTTGGCAAATTCACCTAAGAATCCACAAAACATTCTAGGATATAGATCTCGACGAGCTAATTCGAAAAATACGGCCATTTGACTGTCACAAATCAAGATTTTCGAAAAATATTTGGTTTCAAAATGAAATTTTTAAAATACATACATACTTATATCAAAAATGCACATCTTTCACTTTGGCGATTCTGGAAAAATTATTGCAATTTTTGAAGAAATGAAACCGAAAATAACTTCACCAAATTAAAATCAACAAAAAAACTCGTTTGCTAAGTGCTCGAAAAAGGTCAAAAATTTTATTTAAAAAAATTGAGCTTGAGTCTGTTGAGAGTTCCTAACCAAGATATAAGAAAGGGCTCGATTTCCTATTGACGATGATGGAAAAATGATTTCAATTCTAGAATAAAAATAAATTCTAGTCCTCAAATAATAATCAGAACACCATAATCCTCAAATCCTCAGAACACTAGAATCCTCAAATCCTCAGATCACCAGAATTCTCAAATCTTGAGGACACCAGAATCCTCAAATCTTCAGAAAATCATAATCCCCAACTCCTCAGAATACCAGAATCCTCAAATCCTCAGAACACCAGAATCCTCACATTCTCGGACCACCAGAATCCCCAAATCCTCAGAACACTAGAAGCCTCATACTAAGAAAACCAGAATCCTCAAATCTTGAGAACTCTAGAATCCTCATATCCTCGGAATTCCAGAAACCTCAAATCTTCAGAACACATAGTCCTCAAATCCTGAGAACTCTAGAATCCTCAAATTCTTAGAACACCAGATTCCTCAAATCCTCAGAACACCATAATCCTCAAATTTACAGAACATCAGAATCCTCAAATCTTGAGAACTCTATCGTCCTTTGAAATATATAAAAATATGCAAAATTTTCGACCAATTTTCAACGAAATTTTCGAAATTTCACTAAATACATTTTCTTGTAGTTTTCGGGCCGTAGAAGTCATATCCGTTTTCATTTCTTCGATATCTCCAACGGTTCTTCCAGAATCGTCCTTTGAAATATACAAAAATGTGCAAAATACCACCAATTTTTGAACCAATTTTCAACAAAATTTTCGAAATTTCACCAAATACATTTTTTTGTAGATTTCGGGCCCCAGATGTCATATCCGCTTTCATTTCTTCGATAACTCCAATAGTTCTTCCAGAATCGGCCTTCGAAATATACAAAAATGTGCAAAATACCACCAATTTTTGGACCAATTTTCAACAAAATTTTCGAAATTTCACTAAATACATTTTCTTGTAGTTTTCGGGCCGCCGAAGTCATTGCCGCTTTCATTTCTTCGATAACTCCAATGGTTCTTCCCGAATCGTCCTTTGAAATATACAAAAATGTGCAAAATACCACCAATTTTTGGGCCAATTTTCAACAAAATTTTCGAAATTTCACTAAATATATTTTCTTGTAGATTTCGGACCCCAGAAGTCATATCCGCTTTCATTTCTTCGATATCTCCAACGGTTCTTCCAGAATCGTCCTTTGAAATATACAAAAATGTGCAAAATACCATCAATTTTTGGACCAATTTTCAACAAAATTTTCGAAGTTTCACTAAATACATTTTCTTGTAGATTTCGGGCTCAAGAAGTCGTATCCGCTTTCATTTCTTCGATATCTCCAACGGTTTTTCCAGAATCGTCCTTTGAAATATACAAAAATGTGCAAAATACCACCAATTTTTGGACCAATTTTCAACAAAATTTTCGAAATTTCACTAAATACATTTTCTTGTAGATTTCGGGCCCCAGAAGTCATTGCCGTTTTCATTTCTTCGATAACTCCAACGGTTCTTCCAGAATCGTCCTTCGAAATATACAAAATTGTACAAAATGCCGCCAATTATTGGACCAATTTTCAACAAAATTTTCGAAATTTCACTAAATACATTTTCTTGTAGTTTTCGGGCCCCAAAAGTCATATCCGCTTTCATTTCTTCGATATCTCTAACGGTTCTTCGAGAATCGTCCTTTGAAATATACAAAAATCTGCAAAATCTCACCAATTCTTGGACCAATTTTCAACAAAATTTTCGAAATTTCACTAAATACATTTTCTTGTAGATTTCCGGCCCCAGAAGTCATATCCGCTTTCATTTCTTCGATATCTCCAACGGTTCTTCCAGAATCGTCCTTTGAAATATACAAAAATGTGTAAAATACCACCAATTTTTGGACTAATTTTCAACAAAATTTTCGAAATTTCACTGAACACATTTTCTTGTAGTTTTCGGGCCGCAGAAGTCATTGCCGCTTTCATTTCTTCGATAACTCCAATGGTTCTTCCAGAATCGTCCTTTGAAATTTATAATAATGTGCAAAATACCACCAATTTTTGGACCAATTTTCAACAAAATTTTCGAAATTTCACTAAATACATTTTCTTGTAGTTTTCGGGCCACAGAAGTCATTGCCGCTTTCATTTCTTCGATAACTCCAATGGTTCTTCCAGAATCGTCCTTTGAAATATACAAAAATGTGCAAAATACCACCAATTTTTGGACCAATTTTCAACAAAATTTTCGAAATTTCACTAAAAACATTTTCTTGAAGATTTCGGGCCCCAGAAGTCATTGCCGCTTTTATTTCTTCGATAACTCCAACGGTTCTTCCAGAATCGTCCTTTGAAATATACAAAATTGTGCAAAATGCCACCAATTCTTGGACCAATTTTCAACAAAATTTTCGAAATTTCACTAAATACATTTTCTTGTAGATTTCCGGCCCCAGAAGTCATATCCGCTTTCATTTCTTCGATATCTCCAACGATTCTTCCAGAATCGTCCTTTGAAATATACAAAAATGTGTAAAATACCACCAATTTTTGGACTAATTTTCAACAAAATTTTCGAAATTTCACTAAATACATTTTCTTGTAGTTTTCGGGCCGCAGAAGTCATTGCCGCTTTCATTTCTTCGATAACTCCAATGGTTCTTCCAGAATCGTCCTTTGAAATATACAAAAATGTGCAAAATACCACCAATTTTGGAACCAATTTTCAACAAAATTTTCGAAATTTCACTAAATACATTTTCTTGTAGATTTCGGGCCCCAGAAGTCATTGCTGCTTTCATTTCTTCGATAACTCCAACGGTTCTTCCAGAATCGTCCTTTGAAATATACAAAATTGTGCAAAATACCACCAATTCTTGGACCAATTTTCAACAAAATTTTCGAAATTTCACTAAATACATTTTCTTGTAGATTTCCGGCCCCAGAAGTCATATCCGCTTTCATTTCTTCGATATCTCCAACGATTCTTCCAGAATCGTCCTTTGAAATATACAAAAATGTGTAAAATACCACCAATTTTTGGACTAATTTTCAACAAAATTTTCGAAATTTCACTGAACACATTTTCTTGTAGTTTTCGGGCCGCAGAAGTCATTGCCGCTTTCATTTCTTCGATAACTCCAATGGTTCTTCCAGAATCGTCCTTTGAAATTTATAATAATGTGCAAAATACCACCAATTTTTGGACCAATTTTCAACAAAATTTTCGAAATTTCACTAAATACATTTTCTTGTAGTTTTCGGGCCACAGAAGTCATTGCCGCTTTCATTTCTTCGATAACTCCAATGGTTCTTCCAGAATCGTCCTTTGAAATATACAAAAATGTGCAAAATACCACCAATTTTTGGACCAATTTTCAACAAAATTTTCGAAATTTCACTAAATCCATTTTGTTGAAGATTTCGGGCCCCAGAAGTCATTGCCGCTTTCATTCCTTCGATAACTCCAACGGTCCTTCCAGAATCGTCCTTTGAAATATACAAAAACGTGCAAAATGCCACCAATCTTTGGATCAATTTTCAACAAAATTTTCGAAATTTCACTAAATTCATTTTCTTGTAGTTTTTGGGCAGCAGAAGTCATTGCCGCTTTGATTTATTCGATAACTCCAATGGTTCGGAATGTTAAAAATATTATTGAAAATTTGACCTAGAAGTGGCCTAAACATCCACAAAA